GGTAGAAAACAGGAATATAAATATGAATCACTCATTAAAAAATAGTGAATTTTGTAGGACAAAAAGAGAAGATTAATTAAGCTAGCCATTGACCCATCCATCCAACCATCCATCTATCCATCCATCCATCCATATGCCCATAATTTCTTGAGTGCTATGATACTCCAGACAATGAGCAGAGTATCAGGGATAATACAGCACCTGCCTGGGAGGATGTCACCTTTAGAGAGAGGCAAATATGTGGCTCATCACACAATGAAGCATGACGGGTTCAAGGATGGAAGCATGGGGTGATAAGGAAGTGCACTGAAGAGAAGTGGTCAGTACTTGCTGGAGAGTATTACTTCTCACCCAAATGCAATGGATTGAAATCTCTTGAGGACATACATCCTTTCGTACACATTGTTTCTCCTGCAGTGCCTGACACCATACATTCAGAAGGGATTCGACACATCTCTATTGCTTGCCATGATTTTCAGCCTCCTCCCCAAATCCTGTAACCTGCTGTGCTTTCTTTTCAAATGCTTATTCAGTTTTATTCTGCTGAAAGTATAAATGTGCATTCCTTTTTAAATTATACATTTCCATTCCATTTTATGTGTTTAAAAACCTGGTACATTGCAGAAGAATTCCAAATAGAATATGTAGATACTCCACCCTTAAGGAAGTAGAACATCATTTCCCATTCCTTAAGTGTGGGCTGTGCATAGTGACTTTTTTCCAGTGAATACAGTGTGGAAAGGGGAGAAATAACCTACAGGGGAGAGACTTGACAAATGCTACCTCAGCCTGCTGACCAAGGTCAACATCAGCAGTGATAAATCATATAGAAGGTAAATACCCTTGATATGTAATAAGAGTGACACTTTACCTCTGTAGTTTTACCCTAAAACAAACCATAACCCCAGTGTAGCCATGAGAAAAAACATCATACAAATCTCAGTTGAAGGACATGCCACAGAATACCTGACAAGTACTCCTTGAAATTGTCAAGATCATCAAAAACTGGGGAAGCTGGAGAAACTCTCACACGAAAAGTAGCCTACGACCCATGATGACTATTTATTAGTTTTGATAATATTTATTAGTCTCATAATTAATTAGTTTTGGTAATAATACCATGGTTATGAAGAATGTTAACATTAGGGAAAACTAAGGAGTATATAATAACTGTACCAACTGTGTCATTTTCTGTAAGTCCAAAATTAGTACAAATAAAAAGTCGATTAAAACAAAAACAAATGGTACATCTGTTCCATTCCTAACACAGTCAGAAAAGATTAAGGCAAGATTAAGTAGGTATGGAAGTATCAACTACCTATGGTTTTTATATAAATACTTAGAATGATACCCAAGCTACTTTACAGTTTGTTAACTCTAGAGTCTTCAGGCCTATATAATGTCTATTTAGTAAATTGCCTAATCCCTAGAGATAGTGTGTTTGAAACTGGTTTTAAGAAAAGGGTTGTAAGAGGGCTTTGGCCATCACCTTTGCCTAGGATATCCCTTTACCTGGTACATTCTAAAACATTTATTTTACTTCTACCATATTTTCCCAGGGTCCTTGAAAGCTAATCGTATAATTGATCGAGTTACTGGTATTTGGAAAAGGAATGTTAAAAAGAGTAAAATCATTTCCCTTTGATGTCACCCATAATTTCCTAAAGTTTTAAACACTCAGAAAAAAAAGGGGGGGGCAGAGTCACCATGTTGGCCCTTAGAAAAATTCAAGCCCAGCGATTCTGTAACAGTAGAACAGTAACAAATGTGACTTTCCAACACCCCAACATGTGATTCTGCTAGAGCTTTGTATTCTTGACTTTTCTAAGATTCACTGCCATCGTGACATGCTGCTGTTGATGAGAGGGTGTCCTGTTCATCAGGTATATCAGAAAGAAAAATGTGGAGAACCTTCCTTTTGATCTAATCTCCTCTTGATAGATGAGAGAACCGAAGCCTGGGTGTGGTTATAATTTTTTGAAGGTTATATTGACAGCTGGAGGGAGAACTGGAGTTTTCTAGGATTTCATCTGGTTCTTCTGTGTTTTCTTCTCTTTTTAAATTTTTTTTTATTATTAACATATAGTGTATTATTTGTGTCAGGGGTACAGGTCTGTGATTCATCAGTCTTTTTTTTTTTAAGATTTTATTTATTTATTTGACAGAGAAAGACACAGAGAGGGAACAGAAGCAGGGGGAGTGGGAGAGGGAGAAGCAGGCTTCCTGCGGAGCAGGGAACCCAATGTGGGGCTCGATCCCAGGACCCTGAGATCATGACCTGAGCCTAAGGCAGACGCTTCACCAACTGAGCCACCCAGGCACCCCTGGGATTCATCAGTCTTTCACAGTTCACAGCACTCACCATAGCACATACGCTCCCCAATGTCCATCACCCAGCCACCCCAGCCACCCCAGCCACCCCCCCCACCCTCACCCCCCCTACACTCCCACCCCCACCCCCTACCCCCCACCC